TAGATTTCTCCTATCTCCACATATGATCTAGAGCTCAACTAGAGTGACCATCAGCTTCTTGGTCACCACTCAAACCAAAGCCCTTCTCCTTCAGTTGCTCAGTTTGGCCAGGAGGCCAGCTCTAGGAAGAGTCCTGGTTGTTTCAGACTTCTTCCATTAAGGGTAATAGAGACTACATGCTTCTGTGACCCTTCAATTAAGCATAATTTTTTTCTGAACTCTTCCACAGATGTGTGGCTTGACGCAAACCTGTTTCTGAGCTGTACATGCATCAGCTGTTAGACCTTTTATTAAGACGTGTGTGCCTTTCCAAATCATACCCATTCAATTGAATTTGCCACAGGTTAACGTCACTCGAAGTGTAGTAACACATCTATAAGCAATATGAATGCTCCTGAGCTAAATTTAAACTGTCCCAGATAAGGGTATGAATACTTATGCAATGGAATCATTTTAGCTTTTTATTTTTATGGAGAAAAAAAACATACAATGAATGTGAATGTGACACCGTTTCTATACGGACGAGACAAAGCGGCCGTTGAACGTTAATTTGTCCTTTTCTTCAGAAGTAGCGCGAGTGCTTGAAATAGAAAATGCATAAAATTAGATACATAAGATATTGGTATGGATTTCATAGTGTGCACGTGTAATCACTTCTTTATCAGTGCCATTTATCAGTTATATTAATATCATACAACTGAGGCCCAAAGTAGAACGGTGTAAATCTAAGTCAACGCTATCAGTAAAGTGTAAAACTGATTATCAGTCAGTCTTTTACTAATAATAACCGCCTGTCTTTATCATTAAATATCCAGGGCTGATTTCAGGTGGCATGTGTTGCTGTTCTGCTGGTGACTGTAACTGATGTGATTTACTATCACCACCATCATACTCTACAAAATAAAGAAATAAGTAAAAAGAACAACAAACCCCCCCGCCAGAATGAAAAATATGACATACTGCAGATTTAATAAAATAGAAATATAACATTTTAGTTGGTGAAAGGAACCTTTAAAAGATAAATACATTATTTACATTAATTATAATTAACTGTAAGCTATGTATAACTCAGTTTTTTTAAATATAATGTGAACCACTTTGGATAAAAGCATCTGCCAAAGAAATACAATGTAAATGAAAATATGTTATTTACTTTTTAGAGTCAAACAGTAAGACTAAAATTGAAAACTTTTATTTGTACATAAAAAAAATAATAAAATCAAATAATTTTTGTATATGACAGTATTATTTAAATCTTAGGGTAATAATCATCTATGGAATGCCAAAAAATCTGATCATTTAAGAACAGTCACTAGAAAGTGTAGTTCATTCACTAGAAGGAATCAGACTTTCCAAAGCGGTGAGAGAGAGAGAGGTAGCCTACATTTAGGACAAACCAATCGTCTAGAAATTCACTTCCTTGATGTTGTGAAGTTTTGTTTTCTTCACCTGAAAGATCCTCCAGAAGCTGTTGGTTTGTGTTTCAGCTGCTGAACTGAATCAAATGTTGACAGGACCAGTGACTGAGGGAGGATCTGTCACTTTAGATAAGGGTTTAATAATAATAACAACAACAAAAACAAAAACTGACTTATTTTGAATGACATTCATATAGTTGAAATTGCTGGAGATGATCAGTGGAAAGATGCTGATGAGAGACTGAGGCTGGATCATCAGACTGGATCTCTGACCATCATGAACATCAGAACCACAGACTCTGGAGATTATAAACATGCTGTTATTTTACTACGTAACAAAGTGAAAGTCGGGTAAAAATGCCACAGACACACATTGAAGGAGGAGCAGGAGCCATATAGAGACCAGAGCTGTGTTTCTTAAAAGCATCGTGAGATAAGTTGATCGTAGAGACTGTTCGTGGCAACAGATCTTACGATGTAACCTAGGCTTACGATGGTTTTGGGAAACGCAGTCCAGAAGATCAAACTTGAGGTGAGCCCTTGCTGCGATTTTGTTTTAGCTGCTTTTCCCATTTATCCACCAGCCATTTTCCCGTTTAAATCAAAGTAGAAAGAGGTAAATATCAGTCAAAGATACCAATAAAATGATTATGAGTCAATCTATTGGTAATAATGACCGTCTGTCTTTATCATTCAGTATCCACAGTCATACAACTCAAGCACAACATGATGACAAGTGAGAAAAATACATGTAGGCCTATCTTATTGTAATGATCTGTAAGCTGTTTTAGACACTGTTCTTCAAACAGGCCTCAGCACAGCAGCCAGGCTCTTTAGTGATTTCTCAAATCTGTGATTTTCTGCTTTGGACACTAGAGAGCAATGATGTGTTTGTGCTACATTTGACAACATATTCAGAACATCATACTGTGTGTGTGTGTGATACAGTAATCACCGTGCAATGGAATTGATATCCATTTCAATTTCCTCAAATGAAAATATGAACAATTTCCATATGTTTCTGGATGCTATGATATTGGGGAACCACAAAATCAGAAAATAAATAAAGAAATAAAAGGTTATACACCACAATAACACCAAAAGATTTAATACAAACAGTGAAAACATAAAAGAGAGACAGCCTACCAGAAAAACACAAAGCACTAGTCAGTGTCCATTATTCAGCTCTATCATCAGTTCAAGTAGATTTGATCACCGTTTTTTGGGCACATTTTCATACAGAGCCTCCGACTTTGATTTCTGCAAGGAAACACAAACTCAGTCAGGAATCTGAAACTAGTAATATCATTTTTCTTCAAATTCTCTGGAGTAGAAATGAACTGCAGATCAAGCCCTCTATGCTGAGCAGAAAAAAAATATATTTTATAATTTACTTAACTGAATATTTCTGAATGTCGCTTGATTATTTCAAAATGTACAACAGTAGAATCAAGAAAGAAACACAAGAAGACCATCTAGAGGAAACTGATGGATTTGATGTGTGTATTTAAATCTAGATATTTATTAGTTAGTGTTGCTAATCTGCAGACGGATCAGTGTTTGCACCTCTATTGTTACCACAAGCACTTAGCTCTGTTGCAACGCTGTCCCTTATCGGTGAAAATCTGTAACTCATTCAAATGAATGACGTCACTGATAATCACTATGAAGACAAGTTTCTCATCAAGTCTTTTCAACCACAGCAAACACATAAGTCTCTCATTTTATCTCACGATGGACCAAATCATGTATGATCATATAGTTTTATGTCATACTAATGTGTATGACCAAAGTAAAAAAATAAAATAATAATAATAATAATTACTTAAAAAAGGGAAAGTAAACTTGTATTGGTAGGCAGAATGTTGGGGACTTACAGTCACCTTAACTGTATGTTAAAAAGATGCATTGAATGTGAATGGACATGGCAGAGGAACTGTTGCAAATCCATTTGTCGTTTATCTCAGAAGTAGCACAGGCGTGTGAAGTATGTCATAAATGGAATGGAGATTGAGAAAACGGCAATACTTTTCTGTGTTAATACATTTCAATTCATGCAAATTAACTTTTTTAGGTCTGCAACAATGAAAATAGCCCTGCAAAATGGATTTACTGTATATTAATATTTACACTAAGGTGCAAACAGTAAATGCATTTAATGTAAACTGGTTAAAACATGCTTAAAACTGCTAAAACCAATGTCTGTTCACTGAACGTTACACACAAAACTTCAGTCAGCTGCTTGAATCACACTAACTGACTGCAATAATCTTCTTGCAACACAGTCATGAATGTTACCTTTTTTCGTGTTGTTGGTTTACACAACATTGAATCAGCTCTGTCTTCATTCCAGGTGTCAACTGCATTAGCATTGATCATAAATGTGTTAAAACAACAAAGCTTGCATACTTGTATAGTAATCTGTACATCTGATTCAAATTAAGTTCATATTTGTAGTTAATAATTGAATTCCTGACCTGTTCTTCTACATTTCTTGCAGATGCAGAACATCACGACTGCAGCTACAATCAACAGAGATCCAGCAGCAGAGATCAACACTATGTACAATAAGGGTAGGCCCTGATCTGTAATGGACAAAATGATTCTGTCAGTCTGATGTCAAACAAGACTGAGATCTCAGTGATAGTTTATTTCTGAGTGAAAAACAGAGACGTTTTTGATGTCAACAATCATTAACATCATTGCTGACATACCTGGACAGAGTTGACTGATGTCTAGATCTGTGGTCTGGTTACTGATGGGATTGTTGAGCACACAGCTGTAGGTGTTTTTCTCCTGATATTCCACCTCCAGAGGTAGAGAGAGACTGATGCTGAGATCAGACACACTGATGCTGGACAATAAACTGTTTCCTTTGTACCAGGAGAGAGTCACATGACCCACATTCACCACTGAACACAACAATGAACAATTCTGCTGTGATGATGATGATGATGATGATGATGATGATGAAAGATTTTGTGAAAAATCTCTTCTAATGTTAGGAGTGGCCAGACAAGCTGTAAAATATTAGTGAATATACAAAATAAATGTGAACAACAATATTTTCGGATATGTATTTTAGTATGTTGACAGTCAGTGAGTGTTTGTGTGATCTCAAACTATAAAACGATTCACAAAACGTTTCAGTATGTAAATAGCTAAAGGAATATTCAGAGTTCAATACAGCTCAATCTAAAGCATCTGAGGTCTAATGTTCATTAAAACCACAAACATTTACTTTCAGCAGAAAAGCAAAAATGTGTGATGTACACTTACAGTGGCAGTAAATGTGTCCCATCTGTAAATGTAAAATGCTCAATGTTACTTTTTTTTTAAATTTTAAAATCAAACAAGTAAGCCCTGTCCAGATTTAAAAAGTAACTAAGTACCGTAATTAGTTACTTTTTTTATGGAGTAACGCAATATTGTAATGCATTACTTTTAAAAGTAACTTTCCCCAACACTGGTAGTAAGTGTGCACGTTATGCTTTGCCCACTTTTCTGAAATCCTGTGGTAAGGGTTACGCGTCATTAGCCTCGTTCCCTTTCTCTGAGTTGATTTAGACCCCGGGACCTTGGGCTCCACTCAACTAGTGTGTCTCTGTCGACACACTCTGGAAGCATCGCTCCCCTCACCATTGAGGGTTATTGTGAGCATGGTGCTTTCTTTCAAGCATTTAATTCTCTCTGAGGAGTTGGATTCCTCGCTCCATGGGCAGTTCTCGTGGTAGTGCTGAGCAGTGCTCCCCTTTTAACAAAGGGTTACCTATGAGCATGCTACTTCTGAATTCGGAGTTCTCCTCTTACGTGATAGTTGAGTTCTCTGTTTTTCCCAGAGCACCTGGAACCAGCAGCATCAGGCGGACTAGGCCCTTCCTCTGCCTCTCTGATGCGCTGAGTTTTTTGGCTAGCTTGCAGTACATTTACCCTTCTGATTCTAACAATCGTGCTGTAGGTCGAGCCCCCCTCTCGCTGAGAGCTGGCTTTGTGCTCCCTCAGCTAAGGTAAATTACTGCTAGCCGTTCAAGCATTAGAACATGCTGTAGGTCGAGCCCCCTTCTCGACTGAGAACTGGGTGTGTTGCTCTCACAGCTAAGTAAATTGGAACATGCTGCAGGTCGATTCTTTTCTAAAATCCTATACGGTAAGATCTACGTGCAGCAGCCTCGTGCTCTTTCTGAGTGGTTTAAAACCCCGGTTCCGCCTTGGGCACCACTCCTCCTATGTATCCTCTGGATACCTACTTTAACAGGGTGTTGCTACTAGGGGTCTGTTGAAACAGTTCCTTTAGCATATGCAGAGCGTGCGGTAGCCCCTGTGTGACAGGCAAAGACTTAGTGTGATTCTAGGCTCTTGGTCATATTCCCTTAAAGGAATCTATTCCTGATTCCAAGCCTTGAGCTCTACCCCGGGCCCAGGACCTAAAAGGTAAGTTTTTTGGGGTATGTAGCCTAGGCCTTTGGCCGTAGGGAATGTCACTGACAGCCGTCTAACGTCCCAGGGGCAACTCCCATGGCAATATGGTAGAGTTGGTACTTAGTGCTCGCCATGGTTTCTGGCATGCACTCCCCTCAGCATGGTGGCGTGGGTATACTGTTCCCCATAGCGACCCCTAGAGGATGCAGTTCGAAGTTCCCATGAAAGGGAATGTCTCAGGTTACGTATGTAACCATGGTTCCCTGAGTAGGGAACGAGACACTGCGTCCTCTAGGTTTCTTGCCATGCTTCGGAAGCAAGCTTCAGACGAAGAAGAGGATGATGTGTTCTCCCGGCGCCTATTTATACTATAGTTGCACCGGTAGTGACGTCATGGCTGTCGCCGGCCAACGTGTTGTTTGTGTTTTTTCAATGTATGCTTCAGACATGGGTCACGACGAGGCATTCCCCATAGTGACCCCTAGAGGACGCAGTGTCTCGTTCCCTACTCGGGGAACCATGGTTACATACGTAACCTGAGACGTTTTCTAAAGTCAATTATGCATTTTTTACTCTTAGATTTATCTTTGAGAATTTTATGCCTTGCATAGATTTTATTTGATATCTCTAAATTGACTATGTAATTGGAATAATACATATTTACCTGACTGATTATAAATGGTTACATTTTAATGTATTCTGATTTACTGTGAGATTATTGACTCTAGTAGATTGTTAAATCCATAATGCCACAAATCTACGCTCAGGTTAGTAACGGACTAAAATTATGTTTTAAAGTTCCGTCAAACACATTGGCATTTGTCATGTATACTTAGATTGTAGAGGTTAATAATGGGCTTTCCATTTAGGCTGGCCACACACTAGAGGATTTTAAAGTGGATTTTAAGCGCGATTTGCATCCCCGAACGATCCCGATTCGCGGCTTGTCGCTGTTGTATTACAAATTTGCCTCTGACGTGATACCCACGATGGCCAATGAGAGCGAGCAAGTGTCACCTACCAGATGCTGCATGCTTCTATAGCTGAAACTTGGCAGCCACAAACATGCCATGAAAGCAGAGAACATCACCAATATTCTTTTTTATACTTTGTTTTTCACTGTGAAACAGAATGCACGCCGGAAATATTGATTGTCCTCTATTTGTTTTTCTTCTCTGGTCACGTTTGATATTGCGAGTCTCCGTGAGATCAAGTGTCACTGTGAAATCATTCCTACAATCATCAAGTGTGTGTGGTCTCGTGGTCTGGTCGAATCGTCTAGTGTGTGCGTTCAGAGGATTATAAGACAAAAAATCGGTTGAACTGTCTTCTTGTCTGTGGTCTCCCATGGTTTTAAAATTGGTTAAGATTTGAAAATCATCTAGTGTGCAGCTAACTAGCAACAGTGTGTCGTTGACCAACCTAAATTCGGGTCAGCCTCAACCTCTAATTATTGTATTATTATTCTGACTAAGTGTACGTGAGAAATCACAGCATGATTATATAAAGTTACTTAGAGAAAGTTCAGTTGGTCAACTTGGTTCTATGGTAATATTGGTTCTAAATAATATGCTCTAGAATGAGCAAAGTATGTACAGGCCTTCTAGAACATTAGTCAGTCGCCTCTGTCTAATGACCAAGACTGACGAGAGTGTGAGTATGAGATCTGTGTTCCCGGCTGGCACGAGACTCAAAGTGTTATAAGAATAAGAGTAATACGATTCAATATGATTAAAGAGTTAGATAATCAGATGTCTAGATAAATTATCATATGAATGATCAATAATAATTGGCATTCTAACCTAAATTCGAGGTCATAATAAAATGAAGTCAATTGAAACCCTCTATGGTACGCAGTTGCCATATGGCAACAATTAATTTCTACTTGTTTCCTTGTTATTCTGAAAAAAATAATCATAAGCATAATCTTTGGTTAGTACATTACATTTTTATTCACAAATCAACATTGTCTAACATAGTTTTACTGTAAATTGAGAAAATTTCAATGTTGCCATATGGCAACGCTGTACCACAGTGGAATTGAAGTAATGCATTTCCCCATTGGGATTTTTTATAGATAGTAGCATCAATAATATGATTGCATTTATTTATTTATTTGAAGTGTTTATTGTAGTATAGTTGTATTTATGTATGAATAAGAAAATTATTTATTTTCAGAAAATGAATACAGCAATATTTCACGGAAAGGGCAATAGGACGAGTGCAGAGTTGGCTCTTCCATGTGATGACAATGAGGATGAGTTGGCTTTCAGTGACCGTAACGATGAGTGTGTGTGCATCTGCATGTGTGTATGGCAGATTTTGATGGAAATTAAGATTGGATGCATCAATTTTTAAAAGAAACGTGTATTTCAATTGAAAAAAAATCATAATTTAATAGAAAAACTACTTTTTTTTGGGGGCCATTTTCCATTGTGGTACACTGTTGCCATATGGCAACGCTTTCCTAAACCCCCCCCCCCCCCCCCC